AGAACCATATTAAAAAAAAAAAAAAAAAAAAAAAAAGGCTAGGGCCAGTGACTCTGCTGCAGAAGATGAGAGCCCTTCTGACCAAGGCCCCACCACAATAGCCACTGGGTTCCCTCCTCCCACAGGCCATCTAGTGCATGTCCCTGTTACCCGTTGCACTGATCATGAAACCACTGCCCAATGCCATGTGTGTTGCACACCATGCCCTTCCTGATCAACACCCTAGGGAAGTCATCCAGCTGTTTCTCAGTCCCAGGGCTGCTAGTTGGTTTTGGATTTGTGTTGACTGTTGATACTTATTTACTGAATAAATGTAATTTATCATTTGAAAAAACAAAGGCTAGATAGATGGCTCAGCAGCTAAAAGCACTAGGTTTTTTTTCCCCCAGAGGATCCAGATTTGATTCCCAGCACTCACATGGTAGCTAACAGCCATCTGTAACTCCAGTTCCAGGGGATCTGAAAATCTTCTGACCTCTGTGCCTACTGTACACACACAGTAAAGACAAACATGCAGGTAAAACAGCTATTCATATAAAAGAAATCATTTTTTAATTAAGAAAAAAAAAACAGGGCTGGAGCGATTGCTCAGTGGTTAAGAACATACTGTTCTTGCAGAAAACCCAAGTTCAATTCCCAGCACCCACATCCAGTGGCTTTACAACCACCTGTAACTCCAGCTCTAGGGGATCTGTTGCCTCCAGCTTCTGCTGGCACCTGTACTCATGTGCACATACTCGGATACATAACTGAAAATTGAATTTAAAAAAGAAAACAAACCTGTTAGGATCATGTATCGTGTATTTACAGTAGATCCTACAGTTAGAGTTAACTCATCTGAATATAATGCTGTGTATCTCAAAACTCTCTAGTCAGGATAGATCTTGAATTCGTGATACTTCTGCCTCAACTTTCCCAGTCATTGGGATTAAAGGTCTCTGCCACCATACCTAGCCTGTGTCACCAACTTCATAAAATTCAGGAAAAATATTCTTGAATTGCTGTGACATTGGTGTAAAATGTCCCTAGGAGGCTCGTGTTTTGTGCTCTCCATGTCTAAAAAAAAAAAAACATGGTTTTTTTTTCCTTGTATGTGGTGAATAATTTTATTAGATACAGAATTTTATTTTGAAAAGCATTTCCTTTTTTAATTTCAAAGGTATCACTGTTGTCTTTTAGCTTCAAATGTTACATTATAATTTGTCCTACACTGTTGTAATTACTGGTCCTATACATATGAATCATATTTTTCTGTCTAGAATATTTTGTGCTCTTTTGTGTTTTGATATCTTGGACTTCGTTCTGTGTCTGGTGTGATGCTCCTTAGAGAAAACCAATGAGCCAGGCCCTCAGTGGGCCTTACAAACTTGCAGTCTCTGATGACGGGCTTCTCTGATCCTCTGACTGCCTTATGTTTGTGTCTTCTCCTCTCTTGTCTTCAAAAATTCTCCTTTCTGTGAGGAAGAGGGGCCTTTTAATAAGAAGTGCATCAGAAACCTTGTCTGTCCAGAAGGCAGAAGCTAGCCTTCATGCTTAGTCAGTGACACCTGGACAGACAGCTGGCTTCAAATTTATTTTCTCTCAGACCTTAGAGGTTTTGTTGTTAGATTTTCAACACCTACTGATGCTGAAGAGAGTCTGCCTCCACAAAGATCTTTGTTCCTCTCTAGTTTCCTGACAGCAAATGGGATCTTCAAAAAGTCACCCTGTACCGAGAGAGACCTCCTGCCTTTGGGAAGAAAGCTGCTCACTGCTAATTCCATCTTCTCAATGATATAAAATGAGTTCCAGCTCTTGTTTATCCATCAGTAAAATCTTGTTTTCCTTCCATCTTCAAAACATGTGTCCCAGGTTGCTTTCTTAGAATGCATAATATCCTAGGTTCAACCCTCAGTACCAAAACACTGGAGTGAGGATGCACACCTCTGATGCTAGCATCTGAGAGATGGGGGTAGGGAGCCGGAGTCAGAAGTTCAAGACTGTCCTCAACTAAACAGTGGGTTCCAGGCCAGTTTGAGTTACAGAGACCTTGTCTCAGAGGGGGAAACAAAAGATACATTCAAAGTTACTGAGTTGAGACTGTCTCCTCCTCTCACCTAAGTTATCTGCATGATTTATTTGGGAAGGAGGAGAAGTAAGCTGTATTTCTCACCAAGACCTAAAAACTGCATAACTCAAGACATTTAACTGGTTACTTATGTCTGAGTGCCCAACCAAACATCCTGGAGCTACAGGATGTTATAAGCCATCCTCCATGGGTGCTGGGAACCAAACTCCAGTCCTCTCCAAGAGTAATGAGCACACTCTTAAATGTGAGCCATCTTTCCAGCCCCAAAATTCAAGGGTTTTGTTTTTATTAATTTTCCATGAAAACAACCTGGGTAGTTGAATGAAAATATAGTCACAGATAATCCTGGAGACATTTGACACCCCTTCAAGCTTACTACTGGCCTTGTTGCATGATCAGTGCCCCCAAAATACCATGTTAGTGAATAATTATACAATTCAATTCAGACCAAAGGAATTATACCCTTTAAATATTGATTCAATTCTTCAAAGAAAATACTCTCAATTTAAAACCTACTTCAAAACAAAACCAGACTAAGGTCCTTTACTGGAGTCTTGGGCATACTCAGGGTGATCTTTAGTGAAATAGAGTCCTAGATGGAGAACCTGGACCAGGCTCCACAGATAACCACAGAACAGCTTGCCTTCCTAGATCTGGAAGTACACCATGCCATTTGGCTACAAACTCACCTATCTTCCAGCCATAAGGTAAAGCTAATATTTTACTGCCTATGAATGAGAGCATAATGTCTACAGGGAGATCCGTGTCTCCTATCATATGTACCTCTGCATCTCACCCAAAACATGTTAGGTCTGACATTAAGAGGTTGTTTTAGTCTGCTTCAGGCACTAAACATTGGAAACAATCTTACATATGAATGATGATAGAGTGCTTATAAAAGCATTTGGCTCATTCATTGGTACCAAAATTTCAGGAGAATTTTGACACTTTAAGCAATTCCTATTGATCTAGCTTGGATATTTGATCTTTTCAACTAGCCAAAGAAAATTTCTTCTTTTAAACTGTTATTTAGCTTGGGCATTGGCTTTTCATTACAAAACAACAATTGAAATTGAACAACTTTCCCTGTGGAAAATTATTTGTGACTATTTAGTTAAAATTAGTTTATAACTTGTAAGTTAATGTATAGGAACTTATGCATGAGTCACATATGTACAGTTTTTTTTTAAGTGAAGAGCTTTTGGGGGAGGCGGTTTCCAGACAGGGTTTAAGTGAGGAGCTTTTAAGAATAGGTGGCACATGTCTTTTATCCCAGCACTTGGGAGGCAGATGCAGGTGGATTTCTGAGTTCAATACCACCGTGCTCTACAGCCAGGAAAAAAACAAACAAACAAACAACAAAAAAAAAAACGAGACGAGAAACAAAGAAAACCCTGGCATGGGCATGGTAATGCAACACTTACTCCCAGCTCTCATGAGGCAGAGGCAGTTGAATATCTATGAATTAGAGGCCAGCCTGGTCTGCATAGTGAATTCTAGGCTACATAGTGAGACCCGGTCTTTAATTTAAAACAAAACACCAATAAAGACAAAGACCATATAGATGCCCTTAAACAAGAACTGACCCCAAACTGGAGCCCATGGTAGTGATTCTAGTACAAATGGACATGTATTCTGTGGCCAAATGTAAAGTCAAGGTCATAGGCCATAGAGCTTTTAGTATGGGTCCTTAACTCAGTAAAATAAAGACAAAGAGGTTGTGATCCTTGAGAACTATCCCTAAATTTTCTTTCTCAGAGGCAAAGCATGGCAATAGAGGGTGCCGGGGGACTTGGCATAGTTTTTGGAGGCTTCTGGAGTGTTGAACTCAGCAATACTCAGCCCACTGGCAACTTCGATGCCAGTGGCTTCTAGGTACTCTATATGAAAATGAAGCGGTGCACTTCTGGACAAGAACACTGCTCTCTCCCCCGCACTTTCTTCCAGGTCCCTTGACATCGAGGATTGCCAATGGCTTGCCAGCGAAGAGTCTGATTTCTGAAACGATATTGTGGAAATGTGGGTTATACTAAAAGCAAACCAAAGGAAATTCTAATCTACACAGGTATGTTTTTAAAAAGATCTATGTATTTTCATTTGTGTGTGAGTGTGCTGTATGCATGCCTAGTGACTACAGGGACCAGAAGAGGGTACTTGATTCCCTGGAGCTGTGTTGTTAACCTCTATGTGGGTGCTGGGAACTGAACCTAGATCCTCTGCAAGAGTATCAAGTGCTCTTAACAGCTGAGCCAGACCTAATGTATTGTTTGTTGTTGATTTTAAAGACAATGTACTGGCTAGTATAATGTCAATCTTACACAAGCTAGAGCCATCCAGGAAGAGGGAACCTTAATTGAGAAAATGATCCCCACCAGATTGGCCAATGGGCAAGCCTATGGTACATTTTTAAAATTGATGCTTGATGTGCGAGGAGCCAGCTCACTGTGGGCAGTGTCATCCCTAGGCTGATGGTCCAGGATACTGCAAGAAAGGCTAAGCAAGCCATGGGGAACAAACAAGTAAGCAGCACTCTTCCATGGCCTCTGCTCCAGTTCCTGCCTCCAGATTCCTGCCCTGACTTCCCTCAGTGATAAACTTACAAACTATAAGGTTAAATAAACCCTTTCCTTCCCAAATTACTTTTTTTTAAAGATTTTATTTATTTATTATGTATGCAGTCTTCTGCCTGCATGTAGATCTCACTCAAGGCGGTTTTGAGCCACCATGTGGTTGCTGGGAATTGAACTCAGGACCTCTGGAAGAACAGTCAGTGCTCTTAACCAGTGAGCCATCTCTCCAACCCCCCAAATTACTTTTGATCATAGTTTTTATCCCAGCAATAGAAACCATAACTAAGATAGCAATCACATAGTTTCAAAGTATATTACAAATAAGTTTTTTTTTAATTATTCACTTTTTTATTTTATTTGTATGTATGTGTTTTGCCCAAATGTATGCCTATGGAGGCCAGAAGAGGGCATTGTATCCCTAGAACTGGATTTACAGATGGATGTGAACTGCCACGTGAGTGCTGGGAATCAAACCTGGATCCTCTGGAAGAGCATCTAGTGCTCTTAACCACAGAGCCATCTCTAGCCTCCCCACCCCCTCTTTATAGTCACAAAGATTGCTCTCTCTGGGGTTCTGTTGACGTGAGTTACCAGTTAACACTCATGTTCAGAGTGGTTTGGGGCTTCCTCGTCCTTTTCTCCAGGATGAATGCAGGTATTGCACAGAGGACAATAGTGTGTTGGGTATGTTTAAGTAAGGAGGGTCTAACCAAATGACCACTTTCATTCTATTCAAACTCTTTGATTTCATAATGAAAAATGAAAGAAGTACAGAAAGCAAAGCCAGAGAATTAAAATATTAAGTCACTCATATAGTAACCAGTGTTTTAGTGCTTTCTTTATTGGGTACAAATTGAATTATAACTTCATTTAAAGTCAAAATAGAGATGAGGTATTCAGAAAAACATTAAATCCAAATATTGGGTTTCATTTGGTATGAATTCCTTACCTACTTTATTGCTCACATGGTGAACTCAATAGAGACTGCTAGGCACAAGTGACTAATAAACATGAACTGAATTATTAAATATTAAAACATGACTGGAATAATGAGTAACTGGAAAGGTCAGTATCTTTTAATCTGTTTTTACCAGTTACACCTTACATGCTGAAAACCATTATGTGTGCGACTAAATTGGTCCTTGTCCATAGTGACCCCAGTGATCCGTCTCCTAGCTGTAAATGGGGTTTAGTGGGAGAGGCTTGCGGGGAAACAACACCTGCAGTGGCCCCTCTCAGAAAACCCACCTCAGGCACAGCAGCTCTGGAACATCACTGGGGTCTGAATCACCTGGGGAGGACCTGCACAGTATGACGCCTTATTTGCCCACCCCTTCCTTTTGAGTGGGACTTGTCAGTTAAGGATTAATGTTAATTTTTTTTGCTTGTATTTTTTTTTCTTATATGCATATGTGTGGGGGTCTTTCAGGAACCCAAAGAGCCGGGCTGCAGTTACCAGCAGTAGAGAGCCACCCAACCTGGGTGCTGAGAAATGAACTTGGGTCCTCTGCAAAAGCAGCACAAACTCTTAACTGCTGAGCCGTCTCTTCAGCCACAACTTTTATGTTTTTAAGAGTGAAAAGAAGCCGGTATGCTGGTCTATGTTTGTAATCCAGTATTTTGGAGGCTGATTCTGGAGAACTGCCGTAAGTTCCAGACCACCCTGGCCTGTGTAGTGAGTTCCAGGCTATCCCTGGCTAAAGTGGGACCCTATCTCAAGCAGCAACAAACAGTTAAGGAAGAATCAAAAGAAGATTATTTCACAACACATGAAAATCATACAAAACTTGAATTTGGTGTTCACAAATAAAGATTTGTTAGAACAAAGCCAAGGTTTAAATAGTACCAATGGCTGCTTTCATGGCCATTATCAGAGTATAGTAGTTATGACAAATGATGTATTGGATGAAAAGCCAAAAATAACTACTTTCTGATGTTTTATAGGAAAAGTTTTAGGTCCAGACCTAAGAGATTACTAAAACTCTGGTTCATTTGGTCCTAAGAAGTAGGGCCAAGAATGTGCATGTTCTAATTCTCCAATCCAAAAGATTCAGATTCAAGAGTCTATAGTACCTTTGGAGTTAGCAGGGTTTTGGTAGTCTTTGGGGAACTTCATCTAAAATGAAGCCCAATAGCCAAACTGGCCTATGTATTTCTGATGCAAAGAGCTTCTGGGTCCCTTAATGAGAACCAAAGCCCTGCATTTGGGTCCCTGGACAGGTTCTTCTAGCTGCCCACATCCCGTGTTGATATGCTGTACACTGCTCAGCTCTTTGGGACACAGAGGACAGATCCTTGGGAAGCAGAAAAGTCCATTGGTCAGTTGTCTTTTCTTACCCATCAGAATCCAGGCCATCTCCAGAGCAACGCAGGCTCACGGAATTCATAGCTGGAGGCTGACAGTCCACACACACTGTGTATCCCTCTCGGAGATACTGCATCCATCGAGTCAGGGGACGGTTGCCCAGGGCACAATGAGGAGTCAAGGACTCTGTCTTGAACTCCATACAGTATCTGGAGCAAAAGAAGTCGCCCAATAGTGTAGGAAGTCTTAAGGAGCCATGTCAACCCCATTTAGCAAAGATTATTCACCCTTTACTTTTTGAGGCAAGGTTTCACTGAGTAGCCGAGGTTGACCTGGTAGCCATCTTCTTGCCTCAGTCTCGTAAGTGATGACATTACAAATGTGCCACTGCCCAGCATGCATACATATATGCATGCATGCATACTTACATACACACATATGGGAGACTAAGATACAGGCTCACATAGCTCATACTGGCCTCAAAACTAACACTGTAGCTGAGGCTGGCCTTGCACTCCTGATCCACTTAACTGCACTCCCACCCCCCAACTGTGAGGATTACAAGTGTGCACCACCA